TACAGCCTCTGTAAGTTTGGCCATGAGCACAGAGTCCTGTAAACTTGGAGCTGTTGGGAGCTTTAAGGAGGACAGTGATACTGTCAGGCTGAAAGTGAAGTTGAGAGAAATGAGAGAGGGCCAGGGTGATCCATTAGGCAACTAATTACATTAGCTAACACAATTCTGCTGCAAAGGCAATGATGATTTAAACACATGAGAGCTCTGCCCTCAGAGTTGAAGTAACAAGATGAAGGAAATGAGGAGATGGATTTATCAGGTCTTGCTCAGTAATTAAATTTGTGGGCCAAAGTCATCAAGATTAGAGTCTGGATTCCTAGTTTGAATAAAAAGGCAGTAATGTCAGCCACTCTAATAGATAATGGGTTTGAGGAAGGATGTAGTGAATTTCAGTAGAATTCTTTTTAGATTTATTTATTTTATATGTATGAGTATTTAGCTTGTATGTATGTATGTATGAATACCTGATGCCGGTGGAGGTCAGGGGCAGAAGAGGACATTGGGTCCCCTGGAACTGGAGTTATGGATGGTTGTGAGCTGCCATGTGCATGCTGGGAACTGAACTCAGGTCCTCTGTAAGAGCAGTAAGTGCTATTTACACCTGAGTCATCTTTCTAGCCCATGCATTTCATTTATTATAGAATAATTTGGGAGACCCAAATACCCAGGAGATAGTTCAGCTTTTGTGAAGCACAGGAAATGCTACATTATGGAAAGACATACACTAATGAATAATCATAAGAATTAAGGGCAAGAGGTGGTGGAAACGTGTTTTTCTAGACACAACATGGGCAGTTGCACATATGAACTCACATTGATTGTGACAGCATGCATGTAGCACCTGCACAAGCTCCAGCCAGCCAGAATCCCAGCAGAGAGGCGGTGAGGTGGGCGTGTAACCCCATCACAAGTTGAGGAGTTATTGGCATTTGATAACTGCCGAGAGAGCAAGAGTCAGTTTTCTTTAATGTTGTGACCTCTGGTAGGTCAACCACACACCAGGGCAGGCCTCATTCTCAAGAGAGGCTGGGTACGCATGGGGGAAAGAGAGAGAAAGAAACCTCAAAACTGGGTGTTCCTACCAAGATGAGAAGGTGGAGAGGGTGGTTATGGGAGAAGTTGGGAGGGGAGTGAGTGTATTCAAAATACACGATATGAAATTCTCAAAAAATTAATGCACATGTTGTAAAGTTATTGTAAAATTGAAACTAAGACTGAATGAATCCTGGTACCAGGACTGGTTTGGATAGCATGGTACCCAATGCTACAAGCTCCACACTGGGGAATCTGATCCAGAGAGGGAGAGGATCAGAGAGGCTTTTTCTAGAAAGGTATTTCCGTAGAAAGGAAGGGTAGGAACCGCCTGTACAAAAACCCGAGGTCTAAGGGATGCTGATGAGGAAGGAGTAGCCAAGGAGGTCAGTGTGGTTAAAGGCAGAGAAAAGGAATGTGCTATTGGGATGGAGAGGGACATAGAGCAACCTAATTCCCGTGTCTCATATAGGAAGTGATTGGAAATGCTAACCACACCAACAGTCAACACTTGGTCTTTGGAGGTGTAGGTGCCACTTCTGTGGAGTTTGGTGATTTTCATAAAAATATATTTATAACCTGTGCTTGTCCTCCCATGTGCTTTAGGTCACCTTCAGATAACTTGTAGAACCTGGTACAGTGTCGTTATGATAGAAATAGCTGTCATGGTATGTTGTTCAGGGAATAATGACAAGAACATGCTTGTACAATATCCAGAACAGGCACAATGTTTTCCCTAACATTTTGACTATTGATTACTAGAATATATCTGTGTGGAACACACAGATACACAGTATTGCACACACACACACACACACACACACACACACACACACACACACACATCACCTAACACTATTGAAAATACGTCTTTGGTTCTCAAAAAAGCATTATTCCTCTTTTCCCAAATGTCTTTAGTATCTATGAAAACAACACAGGCTACCTGGAATTAAGCAACACAGGATAAAAAACCCACAAAGAGGAGAGATGGCTCAGAGGTTAAGAGCACTGACTGCTCTTCCAAAGGACCCGGGTTCAATTCCCAGCACCCATATGGCAGCTCACAACTCTCTGTAACTCCAGTTCCAGGAGATCCGAAACCCTCACACAGACATACATGCAGGCAAAACACCAGTGCCCATAAAATAAAAATAAATGTAAAAGAAATTTAAAAAAAAAAAAAAAAAAAAAACCCACAAAGAAAGTATACCATCTGAAGTCCCTACTGCATTTATGGGAGTTGATGAGTGAGTGTTCTGTTTTATATAAATCTCTCAGTGTGAGCATGACTGTAAATTTCCATAGTCATACTGTGCAAGTGATTCTGTCATTGACTTTCTTACTCAGAAAGATGTGTCATTTTCCCAAAACTATTAGTCTGTATCATATTTAATGGCTGCAAATAGTGATGGTGGTTGTGGTGGTGGTGGTGGTGGTGGTGGTGGTGGTGTGTGTGTGTGTGTGTGTGTGTGTGTGTGTGTGCTATCACTTACTTAACCCATCTTTACTGATCGACAATAAAACATTTCTGCCTTTTCACTCTTATGAATAACTCACTGACTCAGAGATGAGCTGTGGGCCAGGAGCACTGAGGAACTGGTGTTGACAGCCTACTTTCCCCAGGCAGACAGGAAGGAATTGCTCCCTCCTTGGGGTGTCTGGCTAGCTGCTACTCTGAATTTTCACGACCTTAGGGAAATCACCATCCACAACAAAGAACCTTGTTAGGTATATGACTTGTTTGTGTAAAAGAAATTCAGTCTGGAAGTTACTCATCCTGAGGGGAGTTTCACTAGAAAAGGGACTGTGGTGCTCAGGTTTTCTAGGGGGCGGTGGCAGGGGCGGGGAGGGGGCGCTGCTGAAGGGTGCAGTTTGGGAAAGCTCCGAGGGTAACCTAACCACAGAGAGGAAACCAGGTCGTGGCCTCCTTCCCCACTGCATTCCAACCTGCACAGGTTACCTGGTGCATCATCCTGGACATGCGTTCCCTTCAGCGTGTCAGGATGGCTCTCGTGATGAACTGCGGGTCCCTATGTGACTCTTCTGTTGTAAACCAGATTGACAGGTGACAGGCTACAGTGAAGAAAGTCTTGGGTCACATTATTCCCACCTTTCAAGTTCTGCCTAGTGAACTTCTTAGCAAAGAGCAAAAGGGGTGGACATATCTGTCCGTATCAGGGTGCAGTTCTCATAATCGCCAAGTGGACTGCCTTTATCATTGTTACATTTTGTTTTTACTATTAAAAGAAGATAACATATTAATGAGACCGTGTCAAAGAATCCAGACAGTGCTAATTGGACTCAATGAGTTATTACAAAAAATTAAAAATGTGGAATTGGGAGAAGATATATTGTACACGGGGCAGGAGGGTTTAGGGGCAGATGGGGTTGATATAATCAAAACATGTTGTATACATTTATGAAATTCGCAAAGAATAAATAAATAACATTAAAATGAATCCCAAGCCGGGCAGCGGTGGCACATGCCTTTAATCCCAGCACTTGGGAGGCAGAGCCAGGCAGATCTCTGTGAGTTCGAGGCCAGCCTGGTCTACAGAGCAAGATCCAGGACAGGAACCAAAATTACATGGAGAAACCCTGTCTCAAAAAACCAAAACCAAACCAAACCAAAACAAAACAACAACAACAAAAAAACAAAAAACAAATCCCAAAAGACTTCAGTCAGAGACTCCTGGGTAATATCTAGCTCAAAAGATTTGGTAGCAAGTAGAGGCCCCAAGAAGGGAGGCTTCTTGGTGAGAGTTACATATTGTCAGAGAACTGGAGGGCCAGAGAATTGGTTTTTCTCAATTAAAAAATGTTATAAAATGATCTATGTTGCCATAGCATTGATCTGCTGTTTCAGGTTCTACTGGAAGTTCTGAATCCCCTTGGGAGGTTGTTGTTGACACATTCGCCATCCAGAGTGTAGACAGAGTCTCTGCTTAGGTAGAGGATTCTTCTCTAGCCGAAATGATTTCCCAACTGTCTCCTTAAAGTGGTGGGAGGAAAAAAAGCCCAGTTTGATAGCCCAAGCAGAGTGTCGGTGGCGGGAGGAAGTGAAGCTCTGTTTCCATGGGAACAGTAAAGAGTTCTCGAGTGGATTTAAAAAAATAATAAGTTGAATGTGAGAACTGAGACCATCCATATCCACATGGCTTAAGCACTGGGGTTAACCTGGTTTCACTAATTATTGCAGGAAATTCAGGCCAAGCGAGAGGGCTGTAAACCAAGAAGCAGGTTCAGGGTTGCTTCACGGATCCACGCGAGCTACTTATCTGAGCAAACTGATGTCTCCTCTGGGCAAACAGCTGTCATGTAGAGAATTTCCTCAACAAATAGCTGACTTACCAAGAGCAGCCTGCAGGCCCTTCCCTTCTCCCTGTGCCAGTACCAAATCTCAGACTTTGTAACCTGACTTGTTTCCCACCTTCAAAAAACTAGCAAGAGCCCTTGTGTGTAGACCTGCAAATCCCGGGAGGTCTGTCCGTGACTTTCTTCTTCTGAGATCCTGAAGTCTATTAAGGTAGTATTAAAAAAAAAAACTTTCAGAATAAAAAATATTATTATTATTATTATTACTACTACTACTACCACCGCTATTGTTAGGGTGCACGTGAGTGGGCACGCACTCCTGACATAGTGCACATGTGGACCACGAAGGACAACTTCGGGGAGCGAGTTTATTCCTTCCACCGTGGGTTCCGAGTACTGAGCTCAGGTTGTCAGCTTATGGCCCAAGTACTTTTCCCCACGGAGCCACCTCATCACCTCAGTGAAAAGTTTAAATCCCCCCGTTGTGAGTAGCGCCACTGAAGTAATAAACTGGAGACGGTTAAAAAAAAAAAAAAGCCTTTGCCATTTTGTGGCTGCCACTTGGTCCACAGGATGATGTCAGTTGCCGTATAGAAGATTTTCATTTTCTTTTTTTTTTTTTTTTTTTTTTTTTTTTTTTTTTTTTTTTTTTTTTTGGTTTTTCGAGACAGGGTTTCTCTGTGTAGCTTTGCGCCTTTCCTGGAACTCACTTGGTAGCCCAGGCTGGCCTCGAACTCACAGAGATCCGCCTGGCTCTGCCTCCCGAGTGCTGGGATTAAAGGCGTGCACCACCACCTTTAAGGTCAGATTTATTAGTTGATGGTTTTAATGCCTTTGTTAATGGTGTTCTGTCCAGAAAGTCTTTTCCTATGCAGATGAGCTCAAGGCTTTTCCCCAACATTCTCTGCTGTGGTGATCTATTGTGTAACAAATAAAGCTTGCCTGAGGACCAAAGAACAGAGACAGTCACTAGATAATAGAAAGAGAAGAGGAGGCCATGGAAAACACTTTTAATACTAGCACTCAGAAGACAGAGATCCTTCTGCATGTCCGTGAGTTAAAAGCAAACCTGGATAAAAACGGCACTTGCTTGTGGGGGAGCAGTAAGGTGGGAGTATACATGGCACTACTTAGAACATGATTTTGGACACAAAGCAGGAGTTGGCGGTGCCAATTGTGGTGGCACAAATGAAAGGCAGGAGAGGGCAGGCCCGAGGAATCAAAGGATGGGATAACTACATACCCAAACCGAAACTAGTGAGCTTCCCTTCATAACATGTAGGCACCTAACCCAACAGTACAGTTATGCAACCAAGACCCCTAGGAGGACCCCAGCAGCTCAGGTTACACTGTCAATCTCAACATGGCACTACTGCTGTAGCCATAAAAGGAGCCCCAGAAGTACCAAAGAGATGCATCTATTTGGATTCTCAGGATTTGAAGAGGACCGCACAGCCAGTGCCCAGAGTCGTGCTAAGGCACACCACCAAGAACTCTCTAAGTGAGCGTTTTGCTCAACTGCCCAAGAACAAATAGCCACAGGCGATGCTGGCAGGCAGCGACCCAGCCTCGAAGAGGCAGCAGCAGCAGGTGGCCAGTGCCAGAAACAGAAGACTGGCCCAGCAGATGGAGAAGAGACCCTCTGTCCAGGCAGCGTTAAATCCTCGGCAGAGCTTGGAGGGGCGCCTGGGTGAGAGGAGCATCCAAGTCCGTTTAGGACGTCCCATGGGTGCCTTTGCCAGGGGAGCGAATGGAGGAAGAGGCGCAGGCATCATCCAGAGAGACGTGCCCCAAGGAGGAGGAGTGGGTGGGGGACCTGCCGCCAGGACCCTGCCCGGGGGCAGGATGCCACCCCCAGGTCGGGCCGTGTTTGGTGGTGGAAGAGGGGCTTTTGGAGGCCGAGGCCGAGGCCGAGGCCCAGGGAGAGGGAGAGGGAGAGGTGCCCTCACTCGCCCGGTACTGACCAAGGAGCAGCTGGACGCCGAACTGGATGCATACATGTCGGAAGGGAAAGCGGCCCTGGATGCTGAAATGGATACCTACGACGACGTGGCAGAGGCGGCTCCTGAGACCTGTGGCTGAAGCCCGCCTCTGGGACTCTTGTTCAAGTCACCACATCTCTGCCGAAATCACCTGGAGAGCAGAGGAGGAGAAACCCGACCCGTGCTGCCAGGAACTCTCACAACAGGCGCGTTTATTCGATGTAATGCTTGACTGTACATAATGTATATGCTCACAATAAATGGTTTTTCTTGCATCTTGGTTGTGGACTGCCTTTGTTACTTTCCTCCAAAAAAAAAAAAAAAACCAAACAAAAAAAACCCCCCCAAAAAACAGAAACAAAAAAAAAAAAACCACGTTGGTTGGGGTGTGGGGTAGGGGTTGTGTGGGGTGGGGTGGGGTTTGGTGGGGCAGAAGCGTGGGGATATGCTGTGTATCAATAAAAGCTTGAACGAGGATCCATCAGAGGACACAGCCAGCCAGCGGGTTAAACGTAGGGGCCTGGCGGTAGAGCACACACCTTTGGTGCCAGCGCTGGAGAGAGAGTTCAAAGCCACCCTGGACCACACGGGATGGACTCAGTTTAGGAGAGAACCGGAGCCCCAGGGTGGTGGCACACCCTCAATCCTCGTATTTGGGCGTCACGTGATCGTCACTCCCAGCACGGAGGCGGAAGTGACGTGGCCCAGAGGGGTATATAAGGCGGGAAGAGACAGGAAATCGAGGCCTTTTGGACTGAGGACTCCCAGGCGTCCAGTCGGAGGACTGGTGGAGTAGGGGAGGTGAGAAGTGGCTGGGGCTTGTTCGTTTGTCTCTCTGGCCCTTCAGTGTTCACCCCAGATATCTGGCTCCGGGTTCTTGCTAAGACCAGTTAGGATCTGAGCACCCTCTTGGATCGGACCTTTGGGGCACCAGTTCCCGAGAAAGCCGCAAAAGCCGCTTGCCTGTGCGGGAGCTGCAGGAGGCCGGACTGTCCACCCCACCTCCTGGGACTTTGCTTTGGACACCAGGCGGCGGGCGGGGTTGGCGGTGCCAGCTTTGGTGGCACGGACGAGAGGCAGGAGAGGGCCGGCCGGTCTAGATACCCAACCCACGATGAGAGAGCTTCGCATCGTACCCGCCGGGCAGCTAACCTCATTGGATTCTCAGCATCTGAAGAGGACCGCACAGCCAGTGCCCAGAGTCGTGCTGAGGCGCACCACCAAGATGACTCTAAGTGAGCGTTTTGCTCAACTGCACAAGAACAAACAGCCACAGGCGATGGCGGGCAGCGTCCGGGCCTCGAAGAGGCTGCAGCAGCAGCTGGCCAGTGCCAGAAACAGAAGACTGGCCCAGCAGATGGAGAAGAGACCCTCTGTCCAGGCAGCGTTCAATCCTCGGCAGAGCTTGGAGGGGCGCCTGGGTGAGAGGAGCATCCAAGTCCGTTTAGGACGTCCCATGGGTGCCCTTGCCAGGGGAGCGAATGGAGGAAGAGGCGCAGGCATCATCCAGAGAGACGTGCCCCAAGGAGGAGGAGTGGGTGGGGGACCTGCCGCCAGGACCCTGCCCGGGGGCGGGATGCCACTCCCAGGTCGGGCCGTGTTTGGTGGTGGAAGAGGGGCTTTTGGAGGCCGAGGCCGAGGCCGAGGACGTGGCCGTGGCAGTGGCCGCCGCCGAGGGAGAGGGAGAGGGAGAGGTGCCCTCCCTCGCCCGGTACTGACCAAGGAGCAGCTGGACGCCGAACTGGATGCATACATGTCGGAAGGGAAAGCGGCCCTGGATGCTGAAATGGATACCTACGACGACGTGGCAGAGGCGGCTCCTGAGACCTGTGGCTGAAGCCCGCCTCTGGGACTCTTGTTCAAGTCACCACATCTCTGCCGAAATCCCCTGGAGAGAAGAGGAGGAGAGACCCGACCCGTGCTGCCAGGAACTGTCACAACAGGCGCGTTTATTCGATGTAATGCTTGACTGTACATAATGTATATGCTCACAATAAATGGTTTTTCTTGCATCTTGGTTGTGGACTGCCTTTGTTACTTTCCTCCAAAAAAAAAAAAAAAAAAAAAAAAAAAAACCAAACAAAAAAAAACCCCGCCAAAAAACAGAAAAAAAAACCAAAAACCACGTTGGTTGGGGTGTGGGGTAGGGGTTGTGTGGGGTGGGGTGGGGTGGGGTGGGGCAGAAGCGTGGTGATATGCTGTGTATCAATAAAAACTTGAACGAGGATCCATCAGAGGACACAGCCAGCCAGCGGGTTAAACGTAGGGGCCTGGCGGTAGGGCACACACCTTTGGTGCCAGCGCTGGAGAGAGAGTTCAAAGCCACCCTGGACCACACGGGATGGACTCAGTTTAGGAGAGAACCGGAGCCCCAGGGTGGTGGCACACCCTCAATCCTCGTATTTGGGCGTCACGTGATCGCCACTCCCAGCACGACGGCGGAAGTGACGTGGCCCAGAGGGGTATATAAGGCGGGAAGAGACAGGAAGTCGAGGCCTTTTGGACTGAGGACTCCCAGGCGTCCAGTCGGAGGACTGGTGGAGTAGGGGAGGTGAGAAGTGGCTGGGGCTTGTTCCTTTGTCTCTCTGGCCCTTCAGTGTTCACCCCAGATATCTGGCTCCGGGTTCTTGCTAAGACCAGTTAGGATCGGAGCACCCTCTTGGATCGGACCTTTGGGGCACCAGTTCCCGAGAAAGCCGCAAAAGCCGCTTGCCTGTGCGGGAGCTGCAGGAGGCCGGACTGTCCACCCCACCTCCTGGGACTTTGAACACCAGGCGGCGGGCGGCGTTGGCGGTGCCAGCTTTGGTGGCACGGACGAGAGGCAGGAGAGGGCCGGCCGGTCTAGATACCCAACCCACGATGAGAGAGCTTCGCACCGTACCCGCAGGGCAGCTAACCTCATTGGATTCTCAGCATCTGAAGAGGACCGCACAGCCAGTGCCCAGAGTCGTGCTGAGGCACACCACCAAGATGACTCTAAGTGAGCGTTTTGCTCAACTGCGCAAGAACAAACAGCCACAGGCGATGGCGGGCAGCGTCCGGGCCTCGAAGAGGCGGCAGCAGCAGCTGGCCAGTGCCAGAAACAGAAGACTGGCCCAGCAGATGGAGAAGAGACCCTCTGTCCAGGCAGCGTTCAATCCTCGGCAGAGCTTGGAGGGGCGCCTGGGTGAGAGGAGCATCCAAGTCCGTTTAGGACGTCCCATGGGTGCCTTTGCCAGGGGAGCGAATGGAGGAAGAGGCGCAGGCATCATCCAGAGAGACGTGCCCCAAGGAGGAGGAGTGGGTGGGGGACCTGCCGCCAGGACCCTGCCCGGGGGCGGGATGCCACCCCCAGGTCGGGCCGTGTTTTGTGGTGGAAGAGGGGCTTTTGGAGGCCGAGGCCGAGGCCGAGGACGTGGCCGTGGCCGTGGCCACCGCCGAGGGAGAGGGAGAGGGAGAGGTGCCCTCCCTCGCCCGGTACTGACCAAGGAGCAGCTGGACGCCGAACTGGATGCATACATGTCGGAAGGGAAAGCGGCCCTGGATGCTGAAATGGATACCTACGACGACGTGGCAGAGGCGGCTCCTGAGACCTGTGGCTGAAGCCCGCCTCTGGGACTCTTGTTCAAGTCACCACATCTCTGCCGAAATCCCCTGGAGAGAAGAGGAGGAGAGACCCGACCCGTGCTGCCAGGAACTCTCACAACAGGCGCGTTTATTCGATGTAATTCTTGACTGTACATAATGTATATGCTCACAATAAATGGTTTTTCTTGCATCTTGGTTGTGGACTGCCTTTGTTACTTTCCTCCAAAAAAAAAAAAAAAAAAAAAAAAAAAACCCAACAAAAAAAACCCCGCCAAAAAACAGAAACAAAAACCAAAAACCACGTTGGTTGGGGTGTGGGGTAGGGGTTGTGTGGGGTGGGGTGGGGTTTGGTGGGGCAGAAGCGTGGTGATATGCTGTGTATCAATAAAAGCTTGAACGAGGATCCATCAGAGGACACAGCCAGCCAGCGGGTTAAACGTAGGGGCCTGGCGGTAGGGCACACACCTTTGGTGCCAGCGCTGGAGAGAGAGTTCAAAGCCACCCTGGACCACACGGGATGGACTCAGTTTAGGAGAGAACCGGAGCCCCAGGGTGGTGGCACACCCTCAATCCTCGAATTTGGGCGTCACGTGATCGCCACTCCCAGCATGACGGCGGAAGTGACGTGGCCCAGAGGGGTATATAAGGCGGGAAGAGACAGGAACTCGAGGCCTTTTGGACTGAGGACTCCCAGGCGTCCAGTCGGAGGACTAGTGGAGTAGGGGAGGTGAGAAGTGGCTGGGGCTTGTTCGTTTGTCTCTCTGGCCCTTCAGTGTTCACCCCAGATATCTGGCTCCGGGTTCTTGCTAAGACCAGTTAGGATCGGAGCACCCTCTTGGATCGGACCTTTGGGGCACCAGTTCCCGAGAAAGCCGCAAAAGCCGCTTGCCTGTGCGGGAGCTGCAGGAGGCCGGACTGTCCACCCCACCTCCTGGGACTTTGCTTTGGACACCAGGCGGCGGGCGGGGTTGGCGGTGCCAGCTTTGGTGGCACGGACGAGAGGCAGGAGAGGGCCGGCCGGTCTAGATACCCAACCCACGATGAGAGAGCTTCGCATCGTACCCGCCGGGCAGCTAACCTCATTGGATTCTCAGCATCTGAAGAGGACCGCACAGCCAGTGCCCAGAGTCGTGCTGAGGCACACCACCAAGATGACTCTAAGTGAGCGTTTTGCTCAACTGCGCAAGAACAAACAGCCACAGGCGATGGCGGGCAGCGTCCGGGCCTCGAAGAGGCGGCAGCAGCAGCTGGCCAGTGCCAGAAACAGAAGACTGGCCCAGCAGATGGAGAAGAGACCCTCTGTCCAGGCAGCGTTCAATCCTCGGCAGAGCTTGGAGGGGCGCCTGGGTGAGAGGAGCATCCAAGTCCGTTTAGGACGTCCCATGGGTGCCTTTGCCAGGGGAGCGAATGGAGGAAGAGGCGCAGGCATCATCCAGAGAGACGTGCCCCAAGGAGGAGGAGTGGGTGGGGGACCTGCCGCCAGGACCCTGCCCGGGGGCGGGATGCCACCCCCAGGTCGGGCCGTGTTTTGTGGTGGAAGAGGGGCTTTTGGAGGCCGAGGCCGAGGCCGAGGACGTGGCCGTGGCCGTGGCCGCCGCCGAGGGAGAGGGAGAGGTGCCCTCCCTCGCCCGGTACTGACCAAGGAGCAGCTGGACGCCGAACTGGATGCATACATGTCGGAAGGGAAAGCGGCCCTGGATGCTGAAATGGATACCTACGACGACGTGGCAGAGGCGGCTCCTGAGACCTGTGGCTGAAGCCCGCCTCTGGGACTCTTGTTCAAGTCACCACATCTCTGCCAAAATCCCCTGGAGAGAAGAGGAGGAGAGACCCGACCCGTGCTGCCAGGAACTCTCACAACAGGCGCGTTTATTCGATGTAATGCTTGACTGTACATAATGTATATGCTCACAATAAATGGTTTTTCTTGCATCTTGGTTGTGGACTGCCTTTGTTACTTTCCTCCAAAAAAAAAAAAAAAAAAAAAAACCAAACAAACCCCCCCCCTCCGCAAAAACAGAAACAGAAAACAAAAACCACGTTGGTTGGGGTGTGGGGTAGGGGTTGTGTGGGGTGGGGTGGGGTTTGGTGAGGCGAAAGCGTGGGGATATGCTGTGTATCAATAAAAACTTGAACGAGGATCCATCAGAGGACACAGCCAGCCAGCGGGTTAAAGGTAGGGGCCTGGCGGTAGGGCACACACCTTTGGTGCCAGCGCTGGAGAGAGAGTTCAAAGCCACCCTGGACCACACGGGATGGACTCAGTTTAGGAGAGAACCGGAGCCCCAGGGTGGTGGCACACCCTCAATCCTCGTATTTGGGCGTCACGTGATCGCCACTCCCAGCACGACGGCGGAAGTGACGTGGCCCAGAGGGGTATATAAGGCGGGAAGAGACAGGAACTCGAGGACTTTTGGACTGAGGACTCCCAGGCGTCCAGTCGGAGGACTGGTGGAGTAGGGGAGGTGAGAAGTGGCTGGGGCTTGTTCGTTTGTCTCTCTGGCCCTTCAGTGTTCACCCCAGATATCTGGCTCCGGGTTCTTGCTAAGACCAGTTAGGATCGGAGCACCCTCTTGGATCGGACCTTTGGGGCACCAGTTCCCGAGAAAGCCGCAAAAGCCGCTTGCCTGTGCGGGAGCTGCAGGAGGCCGGACTGTCCACCCCACCTCCTGGGACTTTGAACACCAGGCGGCGGGCGGCGTTGGCGGTGCCAGCTTTGGTGGCACGGACGAGAGGCAGGAGAGGGCCGGCCGGTCTAGATACCCAACCCACGATGAGAGAGCTTCGCATCGTACCCGCAGGGCAGCTAACCTCATTGGATTCTCAGCATCTGAAGAGGACCGCACAGCCAGTGCCCAGAGTCGTGCTGAGGCACACCACCAAGATGACTCTAAGTGAGCGTTTTGCTCAACTGCGCAAGAACAAACAGCCACAGGCGATGGCGGGCAGCGTCCGGGCCTCGAAGAGGCGGCAGCAGCAGCTGGCCAGTGCCAGAAACAGAAGACTGGCCCAGCAGATGGAGAAGAGACCCTCTGTCCAGGCAGCGTTCAATCCTCGGCAGAGCTTGGAGGGGCGCCTGGGTGAGAGGAGCATCCAAGTCCGTTTAGGACGTCCCATGGGTGCCTTTGCCAGGGGAGCGAATGGAGGAAGAGGCGCAGGCATCATCCAGAGAGACGTGCCCCAAGGAGGAGGAGTGGGTGGGGGACCTGCCGCCAGGACCCTGCCCGGGGGCGGGATGCCACCCCCAGGTCGGGCCGTGTTTTGTGGTGGAAGAGGGCGCTTTTGGAGGCCGAGGCCGAGGCCGAGGACGTGGCCGTGGCCGTGGCCACCGCCGAGGGAGAGGGAGAGGGAGAGGTGCCCTCCCTCGCCCGGTACTGACCAAGGAGCAGCTGGACGCCGAACTGGATGCATACATGTCGGAAGGGAAAGCGGCCCTGGATGCTGAAATGGATACCTACGACGACGTGGCAGAGGCGGCTCCTGAGACCTGTGGCTGAAGCCCGCCTCTGGGACTCTTGTTCAAGTCACCACATCTCTGCCGAAATCCCCTGGAGAGAAGAGGAGGAGAGACCCGACCCGTGCTGCCAGGAACTGTCACAACAGGCGCGTTTATTCGATGTAATGCTTGACTGTACATAATGTATATGCTCACAATAAATGGTTTTTCTTGCATCTTGGTTGTGGACTGCTTTTGTTAATTTCCTCAAAAAAAAAAAAGAAAACCAAAAAAAAAAAACAAAACCCCAAAAAACAGAAACAGAAAACAAAAACCACGTTGGTTGGGGTGTGGGGTAGGGGTTGTGTGGGGTGGGGTGGGGTTTGGTGGGGCAGAAGCGTGGTGATATGCTGTGTATCAATAAAAGCTTGAACGAGGATCCATCAGAGGACACAGCCAGCCAGCGGGTTAAACGTAGGGGCCTGGCGGTAGGGCACACACCTTTGGTGCCAGCGCTGGAGAGAGAGTTCAAAGCCACCCTGGACCACACGGGATGGACTCAGTTTAGGAGAGAACCGGAGCCCCAGGGTGGTGGCACACCCTCAATCCTCGAATTTGGGCGTCACGTGATCGCCACTCCCAGCATGACGGCGGAAGTGACGTGGCCCAGAGGGGTATATAAGGCGGGAAGAGACAGGAAGTCGAGGCCTTTTGGACTGAGGACTCCCAGGCGTCCAGTCGGAGGACTGGTGGAGTAGGGGAGGTGAGAAGTGGCTGGGGCTTGTTCCTTTGTCTCTCTGGCCCTTCAGTGTTCACCCCAGATATCTGGCTCCGGGTTCTTGCTAAGACCAGTTAGGATCGGAGCACCCTCTTGGATCGGACCTTTGGGGCACCAGTTCCCGAGAAAGCCGCAAAAGCCGCTTGCCTGTGCGGGAGCTGCAGGAGGCCGGACTGTCCACCCCACCTCCTGGGACTTTGCTTTGGACACCAGGCGGCGGGCGGGGTTGGCGGTGCCAGCTTTGGTGGCACGGACGAGAGGCAGGAGAGGGCCGGCCGGTCTAGATACCCAACCCACGATGAGAGAGCTTCGCATCGTACCCGCCGGGCAGCTAACCTCATTGGATTCTCAGCATCTGAAGAGGACCGCACAGCCAGTGCCCAGAGTCGTGCTGAGGCGCACCACCAAGATGACTCTAAGTGAGCGTTTTGCTCAACTGCGCAAGAACAAACAGCCACAGGCGATGGCGGGCAGCGTCCGGGCCTCGAAGAGGCGGCAGCAGCAGCTGGCCAGTGCCAGAAACAGAAGACTGGCCCAGCAGATGGAGAAGAGACCCTCTGTCCAGGCAGCGTTCAATCCTCGGCAGAGCTTGGAGGGGCGCCTGGGTGAGAGGAGCATCCAAGTCCGTTTAGGACGTCCCATGGGTGCCTTTGCCAGGGGAGCGAATGGAGGAAGAGGCGCAGGCATCATCCAGAGAGACGTGCCCCAAGGAGGAGGAGTGGGTGGGGGACCTGCCGCCAGGACCCTGCCCGGGGGCGGGATGCCACCCCCAGGTCGGGCCGTGTTTTGTGGTGGAAGAGGGGCTTTTGGAGGCCGAGGCCGAGGCCGAGGACGTGGCCGTGGCCGTGGCCGCCGCCGAGGGAGAGGGAGAGGTGCCCTCCCTCGCCCGGTACTGACCAAGGAGCAGCTGGACGCCGAACTGGATGCATACATGTCGGAAGGGAAAGCGGCCCTGGATGCTGAAATGGATACCTACGACGACGTGGCAGAGGCGGCTCCTGAGACCTGTGGCTGAAGCCCGCCTCTGGGACTCTTGTTCAAGTCACCACATCTCTGCCGAAATCCCCTGGAGAGAAGAGGAGGAGAGACCCGACCCGTGCTGCCAGGAACTCTCACAACAGGCGCGTTTATTCGATGTAATGCTTGACTGTACATAATGTATATGCTCACAATAAATGGTTTTTCTTGCATCTTGGTTGTGGACTGCCTTTGTTACTTTCCTCCAAAAAAAAAAAAAAAAAAAACCAAACAAAACCCCCCCCCCCCGCAAAAACAGAAACAGAAAACAAAAACCACGTTGGTTGGGGTGTGGGGTAGGGGTTGTGTGGGGTGGGGTGGGGTTTGGTGAGGCGAAAGCGTGGGGATATGCTGTGTATCAATAAAAACTTGAACGAGGATCCATCAGAGGACACAGCCAGCCAGCGGGTTAAAGGTAGGGGCCTGGCGGTAGGGCACACACCTTTGGTGCCAGCGCTGGAGAGAGAGTTCAAAGCCACCCTGGACCACACGGGATGGACTCAGTTTAGGAGAGAACCGGAGCCCCAGGGTGGTGGCACACCCTCAATCCTCGTATTTGGGCGTCACGTGATCGCCACTCCCAGCACGACGGCGGAAGTGACGTGGCCCAGAGGGGTATATAAGGCGGGAAGAGACAGGAACTCGAGGACTTTTGGACTGAGGACTCCCAGGCGTCCAGTCGGAGGACTGGTGGAGTAGGGGAGGTGAGAAGTGGCTGGGGCTTGTTCGTTTGTCTCTCTGGCCCTTCAGTGTTCACCCCAGATATCTGGCTCCGGGTTCTTGCTAAGACCAGTTAGGATCGGAGCACCCTCTTGGATCGGACCTTTGGGGCACCAGTTCCCGAGAAAGCCGCAAAAGCCGCTTGCCTGTGCGGGAGCTGCAGGAGGCCGGACTGTCCACCCCACCTCCTGGGACTTTGAACACCAGGCGGCGGGCGGCGTTGGCGGTGCCAGCTTTGGTGGCACGGACGAGAGGCAGGAGAGGGCCGGCCGGTCTAGATACCCAACCCACGATGAGAGAGCTTCGCATCGTACCCGCAGGGCAGCTAACCTCATTGGATTCTCAGCATCTGAAGAGGACCGCACAGCCAGTGCCCAGAGTCGTGCTGAGGCACACCACCAAGATGACTCTAAGTGAGCGTTTTGCTCAACTGCGCAAGAACAAACAGCCACAGGCGATGGCGGGCAGCGTCCGGGCCTCGAAGAGGCGGCAGCAGCAGCTGGCCAGTGCCAGAAACAGAAGACTGGCCCAGCAGATGGAGAAGAGACCCTCTGTCCAGGCAGCGTTCAATCCTCGGCAGAGCTTGGAGGGGCGCCTGGGTGAGAGGAGCATCCAAGTCCGTTTAGGACGTCCCATGGGTGCCTTTGCCAGGGGAGCGAATGGAGGAAGAGGCGCAGGCATCATCCAGAGAGACGTGCCCCAAGGAGGAGGAGTGGGTGGGGGACCTGCCGCCAGGACCCTGCCCGGGGGCGGGATGCCACCCCCAGGTCGGGCCGTGTTTTGTGGTGGAAGAGGGGCTTTTGGAGGCCGAGGCCGAGGCCGAGGACGTGGCCGTGGCCGTGGCCACCGCCGAGGGAGAGGGAGAGGGAGAGGTGCCCTCCCTCGCCCGGTACTGACCAAGGAGCAGCTGGACGCCGAACTGGATGCATACATGTCGGAAGGGAAAGCGGCCCTGGATGCTGAAATGGATACCTACGACGACGTGGCAGAGGCGGCTCCTGAGACCTGTGGCTGAAGCCCGCCTCTGGGACTCTTGTTCAAGTCACCACATCTCTGCCGAAATCCCCTGGAGAGAAGAGGAGGAGAGACCCGACCCGTGCTGCCAGGAACTCTCACAACAGGCGCGTTTATTCGATGTAATTCTTGACTGTACATAATGTATATGCTCACAATAAATGGTTTTTCTTGCATCTTGGTTGTGGACTGCCTTTGTTACTTTCCTCCAAAAAAAAAAAAAAAAAAAAAAAAAAAACCCAACAAAAAAAACCCCGCCAAAAAACAGAAACAAAAACCAAAAACCACGTTGGTTGGGGTGTGGGGTAGGGGTTGTGTGGGGTGGGGTGGGGTTTGGTGGGGCAGAAGCGTGGTGATATGCTGTGTATCAATAAAAGCTTGAACGAGGATCCATCAGAGGACACAGCCAGCCAGCGGGTTAAACGTAGGGGCCTGGCGGTAGGGCACACACCTTTGGTGCCAGCGCTGGAGAGAGAGTTCAAAGCCACCCTGGACCACACGGGATGGACTCAGTTTAGGAGAGAACCGGAGCCCCAGGGTGGTGGCACACCCTCAATCCTCGAATTTGGGCGTCACGTGATCGCCACTCCCAGCATGACGGCGGAAGTGACGTGGCCCAGAGGGGTATATAAGGCGGGAAGAGACAGGAAGTCGAGGCCTTTTGGACTGAGGACTCCCAGGCGTCCAGTCGGAGGACTGGTGGAGTAGGGGAGGTGAGAAGTGGCTGGGGCTTGTTCCTTTGTCTCTCTGGCCCTTCAGTGTTCACCCCAGATATCTGGCTCCGGGTTCTTGCTAAGACCAGTTAGGATCGGAGCACCCTCTTGGATCGGACCTTTGGGGCACCAGTTCCCGAGAAAGCCGCAAAAGCCGCTTGCCTGTGCGGGAGCTGCAGGAGGCCGGACTGTCCACCCCCACCTCCTGGGACTTTGCTTTGGACACCAGGCGGCGGGCGGGGTTGGCGGTGCCAGCTTTGGTGGCACGGACGAGAGGCAGGAGAGGGCCGGCCGGTCTAGATACCCAACCCACGATGAGAGAGCTTCGCATCGTACCCGCCGGGCAGCTAACCTCATTGGATTCTCAGCATCTGAAGAGGACCGCACAGCCAGTGCCCAGAGTCGTGCTGAGGCGCACCACCAAGATGACTCTAAGTGAGCGTTTTGCTCAACTGCGCAAGAACAAACAGCCACAGGCGATGGCGGGCAGCGTCCGGGCCTCGAAGAGGCGGCAGCAGCAGCTGGCCAGTGCCAGAAACAGAAGACTGGCCCAGCAGATGGAGAAGAGACCCTCTGTCCAGGCAGCGTTCAATCCTCGGCAGAGCTTGGAGGGGCGCCTGGGTGAGAGGAGCATCCAAGTCCGTTTAGGACGTCCCATGGGTGCCTTTGCCAGGGGAGCGAATGGAGGAAGAGGCGCAGGCATCATCCAGAGAGACGTGCCCCAAGGAGGAGGAGTGGGTGGGGGACCTGCCGCCAGGACCCTGCCCGGGGGCGGGATGCCACCCCCAGGTCGGGCCGTGTTTTGTGGTGGAAGAGGGGCTTTTGGAGGCCGAGGCCGAGGCCGAGGACGTGGCCGTGGCCGTGGCCGCCGCCGAGGGAGAGGGAGAGGTGCCCTCCCTCGCCCGGTACTGACCAAGGAGCAGCTGGACGCCGAACTGGATGCATACATGTCGGAAGGGAAAGCGGCCCTGGATGCTGAAATGGATACCTACGACGACGTGGCAGAGGCGGCTCCTGAGACCTGTGGCTGAAGCCCGCCTCTGGGACTCTTGTTCAAGTCACCACATCTCTGCCGAAATCCCCTGGAGAGAAGAGGAGGAGAGACCCGACCCGTGCTGCCAGGAACTCTCACAACAGGCGCGTTTATTCGATGTAATGCTTGACTGTACATAATGTATATGCTCACAATAAATGGTTTTTCTTGCATCTTGGTTGTGGACTGCCTTTGTTACTTTCCTCCAAAAAAAAAAAAAAAAAAAAACCAAACAAACCCCCCCCCCCCCCCCGCAAAAACAGAAACAGAAAACAAAAACCACGTTGGTTGGGGTGTGGGGTAGGGGTTGTGTGGGGTGGGGTGGGGTTTGGTGAGGCGAAAGCGTGGGGATATGCTGTGTATCAATAAAAACTTGAACGAGGATCCATCAGAGGACACAGCCAGCCAGCGGGTTAAAGGTAGGGGCCTGGCGGTAGGGCACACACCTTTGGTGCCAGCGCTGGAGAGAGAGTTCAAAGCCACCCTGGACCACACGGGATGGACTCAGTTTAGGAGAGAACCGGAGCCCCAGGGTGGTGGCACACCCTCAATCCTCGTATTTGGGCGTCACGTGATCGCCACTCCCAGCACGACGGCGGAAGTGACGTGGCCCAGAGGGGTATATAAGGCGGGAAGAGACAGGAACTCGAGGACTTTTGGACTGAGGACTCCCAGGCGTCCAGTCGGAGGACTGGTGGAGTAGGGGAGGTGAGAAGTGGCTGGGGCTTGTTCGTTTGTCTCTCTGGCCCTTCAGTGTTCACCCCAGATATCTGGCTCCGGGTTCTTGCTAAGACCAGTTAGGATCGGAGCACCCTCTTGGATCGGACCTTTGGGGCACCAGTTCCCGAGAAAGCCGCAAAAGCCGCTTGCCTGTGCGGGAGCTGCAGGAGGCCGGACTGTCCACCCCACCTCCTGGGACTTTGAACACCAGGCGGCGGGCGGCGTTGGCGGTGCCAGCTTTGGTGGCACGGACGAGAGGCAGGAGAGGGCCGGCCGGTCTAGATACCCAACCCACGATGAGAGAGCTTCGCATCGTACCCGCAGGGCAGCTAACCTCATTGGATTCTCAGCATCTGAAGAGGACCGCACAGCCAGTGCCCAGAGTCGTGCTGAGGCACACCACCAAGATGACTCTAAGTGAGCGTTTTGCTCAACTGCGCAAGAACAAACAGCCACAGGCGATGGCGGGCAGCGTCCGGGCCTCGAAGAGGCGGCAGCAGCAGCTGGCCAGTGCCAGAAACAGAAGACTGGCCCAGCAGATGGAGAAGAGACCCTCTGTCCAGGCAGCGTTCAATCCTCGGCAGAGCTTGGAGGGGCGCCTGGGTGAGAGGAGCATCCAAGTCCGTTTAGGACGTCCCATGGGTGCCTTTGCCAGGGGAGCGAATGGAGGAAGAGGCGCAGGCATCATCCAGAGAGACGTGCCCCAAGGAGGAGGAGTGGGTGGGGGACCTGCCGCCAGGACCCTGCCCGGGGGCGGGATGCCACCCCCAGGTCGGGCCGTGTTTTGTGGTGGAAGAGGGGCTTTTGGAGGCCGAGGCCGAGGCCGAGGACGTGGCCGTGGCCGTGGCCACCGCCGAGGGAGAGGGAGAGGGAGAGGTGCCCTCCCTCGCCCGGTACTGACCAAGGAGCAGCTGGACGCCGAACTGGATGCATACATGTCGGAAGGGAAAGCGGCCCTGGATGCTGAAATGGATACCTACGACGACGTGGCAGAGGCGGCTCCTGAGACCTGTGGCTGAAGCCCGCCTCTGGGACTCTTGTTCAAGTCACCACATCTCTGCCGAAATCCCCTGGAGAGAAGAGGAGGAGAGACCCGACCCGTGCTGCCAGGAACTCTCACAACAGGCGCGTTTATTCGATGTAATTCTTGACTGTACATAATGTATATGCTCACAATAAATGGTTTTTCTTGCATCTTGGTTGTGGACTGCCTTTG